ACGATACGTAAATAACTCAAAAGTACGACAGATATTAATATTGAATGTATCATACAATAGTTTACGCTTTATTATGCCTATTGCTTATGCGTGACGTACGACGGATTAATCGCTGACGTCTTTCGCCCTAAAAATGATCGACTTATGTGATACATAATTAATTAATCGGCGTGAAACCAATCAGCATTTCTGGCATCTGCATATCGCTATTATTGCTTTACTTAATGTTTTGAGCGTTATGAAGCTTATATTGATGTAATTATAGCTATTATTAATAAATGTTCTACATAAAATGTTTGTTTTAGATACTTCAAAATGATCAGGTTGTAAGAGACAACGGCGTCCAAGAACAGATGGACAACGAGAGATTCACGTTGAATCAATCGCCAACAAGTTCCAAAAAATCCTGCAGTTGCTGACGAATAGGCAGATTGTTCACGAGTTCGAATTCTCGGTTACGATTTTCCATTCGTCAACCTCAATGTGTCTTCATAGATGCCATGAAAATCATACATTTTTTATACCTTGCCCTTCTCTATAACAAGAAACATCTACTTATTCTTCATCTTGTATAATATATGAAAATTATTTGTGTTTATCAATCCAAATAATTTCTTACATCCAACATGAGAATATCATATTTAAAGATATTAGCTTCTTCTTCTATAATTATTGGCCCAGGTCCTCGTCAACGAGATAAGCTTGGCCAAAAGATATTAGCTAAAGAAATTTTTTATTATTCTTATATGAAATGTTTTGAAAAATGCATATAATGATATATAATAACTTTGACAACATTACGAATGTGCATCCTTCTTGAATTGATTGACACATGTATTTAACTGTTAAATTAATTCGATCAGAAATTTATACGTAGCACTGCTTCTCTGTCTATCAAAAATCATATCAATAACTATTTTTGTACATTTCTGCTTCTTCATTAATAGCGAGAATTAGGAATTTTCTACATATATGTGTTGTGAAGAGCATAATGCTATTTATTACTCGATATATTATTATTACTCGATTAATTAAATTCAACACACATATATGTATAGATGCTATGAATTCGATAAAAGCAAAACAATTTTGACTGTTTTCTCATTAGATTTACAATATGCGCTTCCTATCTACACTCCCATTTCGTTTTTATATTATTAAATTTATTTGTCGACAACGTTGTGCCTTTGTTTGCACAATCGCAGTTATAGTTATACAAGACAGCTGATTGTAATTAAAATATTAAAAAGATCGTTTTATATAATACGCATTTAAGACATATTTATCAGTAGCATTGCAATATTTGAACTGTATTTAAACTGAAAAATAAAAAAAATAATCTTTAACATGTACATAGACACTTATACAGTTGAAAAAAATACGGAGATATATATGTAATGTTTTGGATATAGATCTACAGAATACGTATATTAATAAGTAAAGATAATTAATATTTCGAGAGTTGTATATATCATATATAATATATATATACACACACACCCACACGCATACATATGTATACATTGTAGCATGTATACATTGTAAATAACTCAAATTTTATATTAATGATCTTCATCTTTCAAGCGATGTGTTTGCATATTTGCACTTTTATATAATATGATTTGTAATGCGACATGTATCGTTATTGCAAAAAATTGTAGAAATATATATATATATATATATATATATATATATACGTATATTCATATGTTATATGTTATTTCCGAAACATTATAATGTATTTAACATACTATTACTATCAAACCATACGCAATATACCTGCCTACTTTGAACTGTTTCTGTATAGATACAAGATATAATTACAAAACAATTTTTGACTATATTTAATTTGTTCATATCAGAATACATTATCGAATCTCCTTTTTTCTCATACATGTTATTTAGTTATCAAAATATGTTCTTCTCTTCCTTGAAATTGCCATCGCACCCAGCGCCGTGCTTTTTATCACATCGAATCCTATATGAAAGCATCTACGATTTTTAAAATCGCAAGAATGATTGGAACGCAATTCCAAATTAATAGAATCTATTGTAAAATTCATTAGTTTTATATATTTATATTACATTTCAATTCTCTTTAATAGAATATAATTGCTAATATGATTCATAATATTTATACATCTTTAGATAACAACGATAAACAATATTAAGGAGTAGGGAACAAAGATAGAGTGATGTTTTTGTCTGAAGTTTCAAGAGATATCAACAAGTTTCTGAAAAAGATGTGAGATGAATAGTTACGATTAAAATGATAAAGTTGACAGATTCGATTGAAACAATTTCTCAATTTTTTCAGCTTTTTTAGGAAAACTTAATCGTTACTGTGCCTACCAAAGATGACGAGTGCTCAAGAAAATTGTGGTGCAAGTTTTTGTATAAAAAACCTATGAAAATATTGAATATTATTGAAAGGGAATAATTTTTTTGTCAATATTGAAATGTAATGAGAAACGAATTTGTTATGGATTTAAAAAAAATTTTGGAAAGATATATATAAGAATCTATAAAATGATGCGGATAATTATTGATTTATAATTTTTGTAACTTTCATATCCGGTGGATTATTTTGAATATCTCAAGCTACTCCTTTTAGTGTGCTTTGAAAATAGGAAATATTAATGTACTACGTAGAAAATTCTTAGGATAAGAACTTTTGCGAGAATTTGGATCGTGTGGGTACATCAATACCGTTACATATCGATAGCTGCGGAATTGGTGACGAGACTGGAAATATTTTTTTTTTAGATGAATTAACCACGTATTATAATATAATATTATAAACATCATTGTATAAATAAATTAATATTCGGGCGTAGGTCTGGACACTTTCGCCATAACGTCGTGCAGTCGTTGAAATAAATCGCCTCAAGAGGCAATATGATTTTCTGCACAATTTACCAATCAGGTATGATATACAATATACTTCAGCTATATGATATTGATGGCCGATGGGTTCGTATACTTCGGGGACTCTGAGAAACGTTATGGATTTTCTTGAGAGGTAAAATTCCAATATTCTAACATTCGTATTAAGGTTTGTCAAATCAAATAACAAAACAGAGATATAATACATTTTATGCACAGCCAGGATTATCGATGCCCCACAAACTACGAATCCAAATATTACGTAAACATTCTATTATACCGTATCGGTGACCTTCCTCGACTTAATAAATCTTTATTTAGATACAAGAATACCGCAACGTAAATTTGTAAATTTACATTGTCAATATTTCTTGTTTTTCTTAAAGAAAGTTAAAACTTTTCGCGAAAATGTTAAGTGACAAGTTAATCTCTATACGCAAGACTATAGTTTAATCGTGCGTTACGCAAAACGACAGTGTAAAACTGAAGTGCAAAGAATAAAAATAAAGAAGATTGTAAACGGAGATTACGGTCGTACATTTCTGTTAGTTTTCTTGATAGATTTACGAGAAAGCAGAAACGACGAAACGAACTGCACTCTTCGATCATACGAACCTGTTGCTGTTAAAACGTGACTAGACAAATCTTATCATTGATAATAAAAAGAGAGTATGTGTAGACAAGCACGGAAATACGTTATCTATTTTTGTTCCAATTATTTTATATTTTTATCTGCCTGCATTAATTTATTTATAATATCTTGTTTTATTTAAATTTGATATATTGTACGCACTGAGAAAAAAATATATTAATATTTGTTTGAGTAATACCAGTTGATTATTTAGATATATTAAATGTAAACATATATTTATTTAATACAAGAATCATTAATTTAATGTAACTATTATTATCTTTATTTATTTAGCAAATATTAATTTTCCGCAAATATAAATGTTACATTAATACTATCCAAACAATGATTTATTAAAATTTATTAAAATTTAGTACATCTCTTTCTCTCGATGTATATTTGTAAACGTTTCTCGTCCACAGGCATTATCTCGTTGAGAATTCAGCTAATTTACACAATCGCAGTTTGGGAGCTGAAGATAATATATAATCCTCTACTACCGATTATCGGAGCATATAGGGCAGAGAATTGTAGGGGGAAGGGGGTAGGCGCGCGAAGAAGGGTGGGGAAGCATCGCGTTCACAGGAAAACGATGGAAATATTGGAATCGGCGCAATATGACTCCACGACAGGTCGCGAAACGAAACGAAACGAAACAATGTTTGCGTTGCGCGGAACGTCGCAGATATCTCTTTCTCTCTCCTTCTCTCCCTCTTTTTCTCTCACTCCCTTTCCCGTTCTCCTCATCTCATTCAGAGTTGGACGGCTTCCTCTCCAATCCCCACCTCACGAACGGAGGATTTGTTAGTATCGAGCGCGTTCTAGCTAGTACCGTGCCAAGATGGCCGACGTTTAGTCGTCCCTTAGTCGGGTTTAAGTCGCCTGCGCTCATCCTTCTCTCCCTCTCTCTCTCGGGCGTTCGTTCCGTTGAGTTGATCCGACATTATTCGCATTGATGAGTTGCCTTGACATTCGCGTTTCGCCGTTTTACACGTCTCGTGCCGCGAATCTAATTTGATACCGAAATATCGTGTGCGCGTGAAATGAAAGCGTTTCGTATATTTTGTCCGATTATAAAACTGTAAAAGGAGAATTAACGTTGTAAATAAGCATCGAGACAATCTGTGTAAAAAAAAAAAATCTGCTCCTCGTACGTGGAACTAAAACGACGAGAGCTACCTCACGGGGATAACTCGAGCGCGGAGAGAAGATATTTAGAAATTATACTTAATAACAGAGTATAACTCCGATTAGATATAATCGCGGTGACTTTTGTGACACTCGGTAGACGCGCCACGCCGGTAGCAACTAAACAGCTGACGGTTCTAAAACCGCGCTTAAACAAGCAAACGGGGGGCCGCGAAACAGTGACGGATCAATGCGCGACAACGGACGATTTGGATACACGTGGGTTGGTTTAGTTCCGCGGATTAGCTGAATCTGCTAAATCAACGCCTGATTAACGCGCGAAAAAGGCATGAGAATGTCGGCGACGAGCGAAGCGACTACGATACTACTGAAGAAAAGAGAGAGGACGCAGAATTGGATCCCCGAGGAGAAGAGCGCCCTGTTCTCCCTGATCAAGCAATACGTGGGCGCGATCGAGAACAAGAAGATCGACGCGGCCGCGTCCGCGAAGAAATCCGTCGCCTGGCAAAAGATCTACTGCGCGTTTCGCGGCCAATTCTCCGCAGATCGGGACATCACCAGGATCAAGGAGCAGTGGCGGAGGATGAAGGCGCAGGCGAGGATAGAGATGTTCTCGTACGCCGAAAAGGTGCGGCCGCGTTTAATAGATCGCATAAAAAAACAGCCACTTTACTCCCTTATAATCGAAGTGACCCGAAAAAGGGAAGACATTAAACAACAATTCAGTATTAATTGTAATGAAATTCTTGTAGATAAACATTTTTTTATAATTGTTATTGAAACATCTGAACAGTATTATCAGGAGACGCGGCCATGTTCGTATTATTATACTAAATGTAAATAATTAACGACACACTTAATGTATAATATCACATATGAGATCACAACAAAAATTATATTCTGCAAGATCACATTTAATATTTTAAAGTTATATTTTCCTTCTGAATGTGTTCTATAAATGAGATATCTGGATTTTTAAACAAAGAGTCATGAAATTTTTTACACGTTAAAATTGAAAATTATGTTTTACACTTATTATATTATTTTCACATTTAAAAGAGAGACGATTCATAATCGTTAGTTGGGGATAAAATTGGAGTGTTTCAAAGTGGAACAAAGAGTTAAGATTCGGGATTTGGCCTTCCTAGTTTGGAACGATTGGTCACCATTCCAAACTCTTTTCTTCTTCTTCTTCTTCTTCTTCTCATTTTTTCGCCGCCTTTGGTCACGCGCAGGTACGAACCCTGGGACCGGATGTCGCCGCCAAATGTCGTCCACCGAATCTCTCGATCGAAGTGTGGCGGCTGATGGAAAGCGTGCGCAAGAACGATTCCGAGAACACTGATCGTTCGGACGATAGTCAGGACAATGACAATCCAGTGAATCGGATGACGATACAAGCGATCTTGGATAAATTGACGTTACCCACGGAAACGCCAGGTTGAAAAGTATACTGACTATCGCAGTTTCTTTTTCTTTTTTTTTTCTTTTCTCGATTTTTCCGTCGCTAAACTTCGAAAAAGTTATCTTGCGCAAAATTATAGAAACAATTGTTTAGAACCCGAACAGGAGGTTAAGATCGAGGTCAATAGCGATACCGAGGACGAGAGTATTCATGGCGAAATATCGCGACAAGCGTCGGAGGACGATTTCTTGCAGCGGAAGCGTCCCAGGATCACGACCGAAAACGAGCCCGTCCAACACAAAGTCACTTGCCCTGACAGTGTGACGACGTCTCGTGTCGAGGATGGTACTTAACATTTCGATGCATTCAGCAGACTCAGTAATTGAGTGGGTGCTTGCTGTTATATTAATGTATTCTTCTAGATCAGCGGATATAAAAGTTTGTAAGGAGGAACATTGGCCTCTCTACACGCACACGAGCAAAAAGTTTTTCGAGATGAAATGTGAAAAGATAGAATATTAAATTATTACATTGAAAAAGTATTACTTAAATAAGTAGGAGTTAAATTAAAAAAGATTTTTGTGAAGTATTAAAAAATTATGATCAAACATTTCAGAAATAATAAGATTCTGTAAGAATAAAACAAAGTAGAACAATTGAAGAGCTAGTAAAATAAAGAGAAAACGTTTAATTTAAAAACAAAAATAGAAATAATTACAAACGTTTCGACGCCGATCTGATCATTCTCAATGTTACAGTAAATACATTTCAGAAATATTGAAAAAATAAATACATAATATTTTGCTACACACACTTTGAAAAAAGGACTTATTTTTTCCCTTCGTGATTCGCCAGTGTGATCATCCAGTCGCCGCACAGTTTATATCTAGAAGAATTCACTGATAGCAGCGAGCGCTCACTTAGCTGTGAGTTCTCTGAACGCACACCCGTTGTTTTTAAATCTTAATCATGGTCTACCTCGACGCGATCGAAGAGTTCTTGGAAAACGAAGGGTTTCAAGGATTTTCTTTTGAAGCAGAACACAACGATTCGGTGGACGAAGATAAATCGGCACAGAGAGCAACATGGATCTTCAAGTCTGCCCAACGCGAGCACGAGATCAAGTTACGGATGTTGGATATCGAACTGGAACGCGCGGAGCTGCAGAAGCAGGCTGCCGTTAATGAGCTGAAAACGTCCGAGCTCAAGAAGCAATTGATGCAAGATCAAGTCGATGAGTACTACAGGTTAGATCCGGATGGCTTTATTCTCGTTTTTACCAATATAATTCAATTTATATTTGGTTTAATTTATAACTCTTCATCTTTTTCTAGTTTTAATATTATAAAAGAATGAATTGATGAATGAATGAAGTCGAGTTGAAGTTCAAGTTAATCTGTATTGGTAGAAACGAGTGATAATCAATTAACTTAATTAAATTCTTCGATTAAATTAATTCGACAGAATTTCTCACAGCAAAGTTTCTAATTATATAAACCTATAAATCGTTATCTATATAATTTAATTTTTCTTTTCATTTCTTGAACAAAATTAATCTCCATATTAATAAAATACAGATATTACGTGGTCAAGTTAATTGGAATTTAGTTGAGATTGCTTCGAGAAAGTAATTGCGTTTAAATCTACGGAAGTTCACAGTATTTCCGACCTAAGCGCCACAATGCCAACCGCTGAGTTTCGTGTTCTAAGAATAGTGTTTCGTTCATGACTCGTTCATCAGCTTGTTCTGTCGGTTTGCCAAGTTTTCGTTAGCCTTCAGATCCAGAGTATTTCGTGATCGGAAAAATGCAACGATCGATTACGACGTTTTCGCGAAGCATCTCTGCGTTAAGGTATCGGAAAAACTCCTCAGCTTCAAAGTCATACGATTAGTTTATTGTTTTTAATTCATACTTCACCCGGCGTTTTCTCGTCGCAACACAGATCCAATCCCGATATTATCTTTATTCGTGCAGTAATATACCGACGTCTTCTTCTTTTCGAATTTAAGAATATATCATCTTCTCACACATACAAATAGCCATGTTGAAGATCTGTGACATGACCTGAGTAGATGCCATATCAAAATTATGTAATGATAAGGCAGAAAGTGAAACTTAATTGACATAACCCTTGAATAGTATTTTATTTCTAAGCAGAGTTTCTTGCAGTTACGAATGTGATTACTCTGTGCAGCAAGAGCTACCAATTCTTTCATATGATTTATGTTTAGATTCAACAAGAAACTAACAGAGAACAAAAATCAATTGCATTAAAGTATCTTATAATAGTTGCTTTTTCTGCTGTAAACATAGCTATTGTTATATTTATAACTTACTCTGTTACAGTCAAGTGAGAATGGCTGGAGAACGTGGTTCGGGTGCTGGTAAGGGAGGAGGTGGCGGTGGTACTATTCGTGATGCTGGTGGTTCCTTTGGAAAAATGGAAGCTGCTCATGAAGACCAATATTTCTATAATCTGGTTGGTATATTTTTTATTAATTTGTCGTATCAACGATTTTATTTATTTACACAAGTTTGAAATGTTATTTTAGCAAAAGGAACAGTTACAAAAGATGCGAGAGAGCTTGCATGATGAGATCTCATTCCACGAGGAACAGATCAAGCGTCATCAGGAGGCTATTAATCGCCACAAAAAGCGGATCACAGATATGGATCAGAAAGAGTGAAGTTATATTAGTGTGATACTCCGACTGATCGACGACTTTATTATTGGTTTTGACGTAAGAAAATGGATCGAAAATAGTAGAACTAATAGAGTATCACAGTCTTCTGTATAAACTGTTACATTACATAGATTATTAAATGTAATGCTCTTAATATATATGTTACTTAAATATTGAATGATGTTTCCTTGTATATTGTATGGGTCGCTTTTAACAAAATTATCGAGATTACAATACTTTGTATTTTGAGGTATCTGCAAGATAATTATACTTGAAAATAAAACCGTGTTTTTCATTGTTGCTTAACCTTGTCTTGGACATTGAGTCATCTTCGAGGCGTGCCAATTCTGATGCGAGTTTGTTTTGTCCGTTTCGTATAACCTCGTCAAATATTTTTCCCGTTTAACAAATAGTCAAATTTGCGTTTATGTAAAGTATACATTCCACATAAAAATTTTTTTGTGGATACCACAATGCTCCGACGTGTTTTCAGAAAAACTTGCAGATATAGGTATTTAATTTACTGATAATATATTTCACCATGCTTTCCAAGTTTGGATTATTTTTCACACTGATATTACTGATATAAAAAGTAAATTATTGCTCTCAGTTTCAGACATCTTAATGAAAGAAAGAAGCACGATTCGAAAACGGATCAGGCATCGTTCGGCGATATCGCGTGTGAAACAGAATATTATTACAAGCAGGTGATGAAATTATTTTTGTAAATCGTCAATTTAAAGTCAAGCAGTAGTCGCGATGTAGTAAAGGCGTTACGAATAATCAGGATAGGAAGTTGCTGAAAGTCGTCATGGAAAAGACACAGAATGAGGTGAAACACATGCAGAGAGAAGTGCAAATCATGAAGAATAAGATCGATGAATACAATCGCGACATAAGTGAGAATCTGAGATTTCTGAAGAATCTAGAGAAAGATTTATCCGCTGGCGATAAGAAGACCTAATAAGTTTCAAGGAGAGTAAAGAACTTTTATATAAACTCTAAAAAAACAGACTCAATATATTAATGGATCTATCAATATTCGCGATACAGTAATAAATCTTACTCGTAAACTGCTTAAGGTTTCTTTTGACGTATATATTCTTAATGCGTTTATGTATATATGAGAAAATATGCTATATTGAATACAGAAATGAGTTAAATAATCTCTAAATCGTTTTTTTTTTTCAATCATTAATGATTTTGCTTGATAAATTTGTGAAATGTTCTTAATTTACACAATTACTGTAGAATATTATACATTGCATAGAAATTTTCTCACGATCTCTCACCCTCTTCTTTTTAATATTTCTTAAAACAAGTTTTTAAATATTTTTTAAATAGTTTCATTGTCGCGCTTCTCTATCGTTAATAGGATCTCCAGTCGTCGCATTGATGAAATTTCTATTTAGGAATCAAATAATATTTAAGATACTGATTTTAGTTTGCGATTGCACTTCCAAGTGGTTTAAATTTCTTATAAGCTATAAAACTGAAAAACGTAATTGTAAAAATTGTCATATATGAACATAATTAAGCATTAAAATCTTACAATAACGGAATCTTTAAGACTGCTCTTTATAGTTCGGGCTTACTTTACATTTTTAAGATCGTCTTAAGTTGAAGTCTTAAGATGCTAATGCAGTTCGATTCCTTATTGATTCACATCTTGAATCGGGCGCGACGAGCGTTCGTATTTGGCGGGAAAGGGCGAGTATCGCTTCCACCGCGACTCGATCGGTTCCTGCAGGTCCACGGTAGATGGCGCTGCGCGCGGGCGCAGCGCGGCGAGGCAGCATGGCGGCCAGTCGGGTCGGTCTGGTCGACGGCGGACGGTAGCGGGCGATCGTCGCGCCGCCCAGTGTCTCGCGGTTCATCGATCAGTGTGGTGTGTGTCCGCGCGTTGTTGTTCCGGGAGATCTTTTTTTCTCTCCCCTCTCCCTCTCGAGCGGTACACGTCCGTCCCCGAGGTTTATTACGAGTATACTGCCCTCGCGCCGTCATCTTACGCGCGGGACGTCGTCTCGCGCTTCTTTCACCGTTCCCGGTCGATTCGTTGCGCGTGCATACGTCGGGACGGGCGCCGGGCGAGCGGGGCCCCATCATCGGGATCACGGGATAGAAAGATGCGACTAAGGATACGCTGGATACTTCTGGTTAGCACGGCTGCGGTGATCCTCGCGGGATGCGGCGCCGCTACCGAGGTACGTGTGCTCCATCAGTCTCTCGCGAGAGCGTCGCGACACGCGGCCGCGATGCGGCACGATGATGGGCGGAAAGAGGGTGGAAGAGGAGAGGCGGCTGGCTGTCTCTCTTGAACTCTCTTACGCGAGACGAGAGGGACGCGCGCCTCGTTTTCCCGTCATTTCGTCTTTCCTCTCTCTCTCTCTCTCTGTGTCTCTCGTGCACGTAACGTCTCTCGAAGACACGTTCGCGGATGACTATAGGCAAAAGCACACACGCTTTGCCTTTCCCTCCGTAGCGTTAAGTGTTACGCCGCTATTGAGGTACTCTCGCATTCTTGGCGTCTCGTCGAACCAGTGGTGTTCAAATCGAGGCCCCCTGAAGTGCGCCGCTTTCGCGTTACACGGGGAATTCACTTCGCAGTCTCCCCTCTCGCTCGCTCGCGTTTCTCTCTTTCTCGCTCGGAATTCTATTTTCGAGAAACTTTGCAAAATTCAAATGAGACAAAACAGTCTCGACTCTCGCCGACTTAAAAGGGCATGCGCGCCTGTTTGCGATTCGAAAACAAAACACTTTTTTTTTTCTCCCTCCCCCCCCCGGAGTAACTGCTGTCGAAGAAGCTCGCCGAATCGGAGAATGACACTCCTTTCCCCAGCGTCTTTCTCTCCGCGAGTTCAAAACTTTTTGTTCCGGTAATAAGCAGATGTTCACGCCGAGGGAGTAGCGTTAAAGATCGAGTTTACCTTCCCCCGATAGCTCCGTAACGAGAACGTCCGCGTTGTTGGCTTTGTTAATAGAAACGGAAGTTCGGAAAGAATCGGAGCAAGTTTGGCGCGCGCAGTTTTCGCAATTCGCTAATGAGAAATAGTGGATTTTGAAACGTACGTTCGGGGCGCGATCGCGGTCTTCGATTGATGCGAACGAGCCGCGACAGTTAACGTCATATTATATCGTTTGTCCCTTGTTTACGTTTTTATCGTTAAAATTCCCACGGCCGTACGTTAATTAGTAAGCGAGAATTCTATATATTGTAACTCGCGCCATGCGCGCTTTTTGCATTACGCGGAATAATGGCCGTTCTAATGACGCTGCTAGTGTAATTCGACGGCGGCAAATACGCGAGCAAAATATTTGTAACGTTCTGTGTGCAGCACGCTGGATTTTTTTTTTTTTTTTTTTTTTTTTT